AAAATATAACAAAATTATGACCATTTTATGTATTTTGTTTACTTCACAACATTCTCCAGTTTTTATTAAAAAAAGATATCATAACAAGTATTAAATCAACAAAGTTTCTGCTTACTATTTATTAGATAACGACAACCACTTACTATGAATGATTACGACATAATAAAGTTAGAGGCAAAAACATAAATATCTTAATATACTAATTATTTATCATACAATTAACAAAGATATCGTAATCATAACAAGTACTTTAAATTGAACGCAGTTCATTTTCACAGCTTTAGATGTTCGACTGTTAACGAAATATAAAATTTTTTCACAATCCACTTTGTAATTTGTCACACCTTCTCTACTGTACATTATAATTTTGCAGTCGGCTTTTTTAGATACGTATATTCTTCTATTTATCGTTGGATCGAACAAAGTTGTCATCTTCCAGTCTTTAATATTTTTCGAATTACTTAAAGTTTTTATTTCGTTACTTTGAAGTGGTAATTCCTCATTCCATGGGCCAACGTCGACTTGATCTTCATCCATTTTCTTATAGTTATAATCGTGAATGTAGCTTCGAAGAAATGCTTGAGCTATATCGCAATAAACAGTGACAGTATCAACTATTTCCATATCTTCAATTCTCAGCCAGCATTGTTCCGAACGATCGTTACGGTTCGGAAGTTCGAAGGGTATTGGAAAAACTGCGTACGGTTTCGTATTGACGGACTCTTTTGTAACAACAAAAGAGATAAATGTAATGGTCATTGTAGCACTGAGTAACATTTTAACGGTGCACTTGCTTCAACACCATTATTGTAACTAAACTGAACTAAACGTTCGTTACGACTCGAGTAGACCACCTGAGCCTCGCGTACAACACTCAATTATAAGTGAAAATAGGTTATTACTGAATCGCTCCTTCTTATAACTAACGTGACCATTTATTTTTTGCCTGAGTGAGACATCTGCAACAATAGAACTATAAAAATTGTACTTTACAACTTCTTTGTTTTAGAAGATTGAATGACACAAAATAATCATTGCACTAAACGAATTAGTAAGCCCTAGTACTAGCAACACTTTAAAGACGTATTTTTGTATTTGTCTGCTGAATCTTTTTCATAATATCCGGTCTTGTTTTGAGAATTAGTGTGAAACACAGTACATATTTTATTTATATTTTTATTCGTAATCAAAATATATATTATATAATTTGCATTATTTCATATATTGCGTTATCCGCCCAAAGCAGAAAATATTTGATACGTAATTTCTCTATCACATATGAAACAAGGGTTGTACAGTTGGGCTGTGAGTTATTTTATTACCTTATTCCTTGTGCCTTTCCTCGTTCGTGTTTTACCGTTTACGTCATAAAAAATATATATATGAAATAAAATCATTGAATCATATACTGTAACTAAGAGGTTATTAATGAAAATTTATGTTTATTTTCGAGTATTTACCATTCCATTCACTTGATAAACCTCAAGATTTTAGGTAAATAGTATACAAGGTAAATGTCGATAAACAGCCAATTAACATTATGTTTTAAAGATCATATACTGTATTTTTTTAAAGAATTAAAATAATTTAATTTGTGTTATTTTTGAACAAAAAAAAACATTTAACGATCTTCTTAAAAACATAATTATATTGAGCTATTTATCGACGTTTACCGAGTATTTTCGTGTATGTTCAAAATAAACAATAATCACAGACTTTTCGAACCTTTACCATAGTTAATTGGTAAATCTAAGAATTTATGTGAGTTCGTGATTTTGGATTTTGGAGTAACATATATATTTTGCATTATGCAAACTTATTCAAAGATTTTGTTCATCAAAAATTTGTCATTATGTATTTAATAATGAGACTCACGTGCGGTGTTGTCACTGACACGGTCCATTGGCGTTACAGACGAATGCACAACAGTTAGCTCATTGTAGTCGGCCCTTCAATTGCATCACATTTTATTTACATAAAAACAATTAAGTGAAAATTTTATGGACAGGAAACAGCTTTCGTTTAGTTCCCCGCAGCAATGGGACTGCGTTAATATTTTGGTATCAGCACCGACATATCGTTGAATTTTGGGACACGTTGTATATAAAATGAAGTCTACTGTTACTACCTTCCATTAAAAGCTCCGTCAATAGTTCAGTTCGGAGATTATCCGGAACATCCTTTCGGAAAGCCAGACACAGTGTTAAGAATTAGTTATTGCTAAAAGTAATAATTAACATCTTAAGTATTAGTTGACAGTACGCATAGTTTGAGAAGACTTTAGGAAATCGGTGGCTGCGCAGCGTAAGGATGTTTATTCCAGTGTTTTATTTTTATACTGACACTAGGTAAACAAATCCTAAGAACTTGAATAAAAAGTTGCTCGCCTTCATAAGTGTAATCTGAAAGGTTATTCACCAGTTTTAACATTTTTGACTTTGGTACCGAACCAATACTCATACGTTTAATTTAGAAGTTTAAATAAAATATACAAATTTTATTATTAAAAAGTAAATAAAAAAATTAGCGAAAAATTTGTAAATTTATTTCTTTTCTGTTTGTTTCCGCTTTTATAAGATAAACGTTTAATTTATCTTAATAATTACATTGTAGTTAGACAAAATATTTATGTAGTAAAGGCCAAAGAGTATCCTAACTGTTGAATTCGACTGCTTTGACCCTTGTATTGATGAATATCACATCTTTATTTTTACAAAGAGAACGAAAGAGACAGCAACATTTGTTAATACAAGTTTCACTGCAGTCAAAACCCACAGTAAGATAAACACAGTTGTAGTTGAAGAGCTAAAGATGATACAAAAGGTTTGAAGCTGCCATATTACAAACAATTTTATTTCACACAACCTCTTATAAATTAATTTTAAAATAATATAATCCTAGTAAATTATCTAAGAAAATCATATAGATAAACTTAAACCTTGTCATCGATATGTCTGCGCCATTCGTATATAATAACGACCTCAACATATGTGTCCTTAAGTAAATAGAATTGAACAATAAAGTACATTTCTATGTTATTAAATATCACATCAAAAGCATAATAATCGAAATTCATTGTTTTAAAATTGCAAACATGTGTTGAGTCATATAATTTTCATTTTTTGTAATATAATGCAAAATATTAACGAACGAATTAATAAATTAGTCATAACCGGTTTCAACGTGAGCACTGATAAGGATAACAATCCATTAAATTAAGTACAGCAAAGTAATAAACAAAAATGAAAGTATTTTTATGTGTCCTAAACACATTGTTGCACCGCTGTAAGTGCGATCGTTAACGTAGTACAAAACTTTATCACAATCCACTTTATAGTTTGTCACCCCTTCTCTACTGTACATTATCACTTTACACAACGCCTTTTGAGTTACATATATCCTCATACGGGTTATAGGATCCAATACTGTTGTCATCTTCCAATCCTTTATATCCTGATCTCTGTCCGGAAATCTGAACATAACATCCTCAATGGGTAAAGGTTCTTCGTTCCACAGACTAACGTCAACATCGTCTTCTGTTATCTTCCTCGAGTTGTAATCATGGATGTATTTACGAAGAAATGCCTGCGCTATAGTGCAATATATAGCAACGGTTTCTATAACATCTTCGTCTTCGATTCGTAACCAACATTGGGTTGCCCGATCGTTTCTATTAGGTAAATCAAATGGCACTGGAAATACGATATAGGGTTTCGTAGTTTTTACACTTTCCTTACATATAACGGTTGATATTAAAAGAACTTTAAAAAATACTGTGAGCAACATTTTATATGTGCAGCTGTGATGACATCATGATCGGAACTAAACGATAGCCGTGACAATTCTATGCCACTACCGCAAAGACGGACGAGTTCAGTCGACCTTCACATCGGCAATTACACCTGGATACAGATACCTTGTTGCGGATTAACAACTTATTGTTTAGATTTTAAGATACACCTTTGAATAGAGGAATCTGCATTAGAATAAGGCGTATGCTATTGTTCGTTTCTTATAAACACACTGGAAATAAAGAGGATTGTAGAAGGTAGATAAAATATACTTACGAACAAAATAATCGCGATTCTCGATCAATTTAACTACTGGTCTTGTCGAACATAAATTATATAATTAATAAAAAAAAATTATAATAGAAGAGGGCAATTATAATTATAACTCGACTGGGATTCGAAATCTGGTAGCTAGGACACTAACACGTAGCTATAAATATTTGCAGGAAATAACCGTAATTAACTGCATTTTATGTTATTCACTTCCGATAATATCGCGGGTCATTTTCCGCATAAACAACCTCACTTTATCGTGTAGTCTTTTAAACATAATATATAGTATTCATTCACTTACACAGTAATGTATAAACATTATCTTTAGCTTGTTTATTAGCAGTTGATAGCGACTTCATCTCCGCGGAATTAAAAAAAAATACTAATAAATATAGTCTGTCACAGGGTACTGTCTTCTCAAAAGTGTATTGTCAAATCGGTTAGATAGTTTCAGACCCTATTCACTACAAACAATCAAATATTTCTTTTTTATAAATTTGTATACACACCAGTCTACTCCAATGTTTATTTCTACTGTTCGATTATCTATATGTGAAAATTTTCTAAAGCGATTAATTCATCTACACTGAAATGTTTGGAAACTTAAAATGTTCGTTAAATCCTGTCCCGCTACTAATAACATGCATTAAATTCACTTTTACATTAAAAACAAGCTTTGAGTGAATAATAGAGTATTTGAAATAATTTCGATTACATTCATTGTTTACAATTATCTAAGTTTTTGTTTCGTTACGTATATATGCTATGTCGCGTTGCGTTAAAACAAATGATATTAAATATAACAAATAATCACAATTACAGCCAGGGTGACACAAAAACATCTCGATATTAAGTTTACTTCACCTCTAACCTGTCTTTATCTGTGTTCTTCGAACGAATAAGTAGTCGCAAGTGTAGAAACTCGGTATTCCCAACACTTTGCCTGTTGACGTCAGCCTTTTAAATAATATAAACAACGATTCATTTCAAATCCAGTTTCGAATGTGCCTGGGCAAAGATAACACGTCTCGTCACAATGACGAGTAGACTATTATTATGTCTCTTAATATTGTGCGTTACATCAAATCTCGTGTACTGTAGATTTGGATCCAGAAGTAGTGGAAGATCAAGTTCTAGTGGAAGCCGCTCTTGGGGACGGAGTAGTAGTAGTTATTCTAGACCTTCGTCGAGTTCGAGCTCGTGGCACAAGCCTAGCTACCCGTCATCTTCGTCGGGATTATCTGGATCAGGATGGAGCAAGCCTAGCTACCCGTCATCTTCGTCAGGACTATCCGGATCTGGGTGGAGTAAACCCAGCTACCCAATATCATTATCGGGATTATCCGGATCAAGTTGGAGTAAGCCCAGCTACCCGTCATCTTCATCTGGATTGTCCGGATCAGGTTGGAGTAAGCCTAGCTATCCGTCATCTTCATCTGGATTGTCCGGATCAGGTGGGAGTAAGCCTAGCTACCCGTCATCTTCATCTGGATTGTCCGGATCAGGTTGGAGTAAGCCTAGCTATCCGTCGTCTTCATCTGGATTGTCCGGATCAGGTGGGAGTAAGCCTAGCTACCCGTCATCTTCATCAGGATTGTCCGGATCACCATGGAGTAAGCCCAGCTACCCGACATCTTTATCAGGATTGTCCGGTTCTGGCTTAAATAAACCGAGCTACCCATCGTCATCATCAGGTCTGTCTGGGTCAGGGACAAGTAAGCCAGCATTACCGAGTTTTAGTTGGAACAAACCAATTAAACCGTCTTTATCTTTAGGGTTACCTGAACTACGTCCGAATAAACCGAGCTACCCGTCTTCATCAGGACTGTCTGGCAGTGGGTCAAGTAAACCTAGTTATCCGTCTTCATCGACAGGACTATCAGGTTCGGGATTACAAAAGCCAGGTTTAACTGGTACAGGGTCTCATAGCTATCCTCCATCAATTGGCGTGGCTGGCAGTGGAAGAACTAAACCACCGTCATATTCTGGAGCACCTCAGCATCCAACTTCGAACGGCAACAGTTTTAATAAGCCTTCATATGAAACACCGTACCGTCATAGTCATATCTCCAATTCTCATTCTGGTTATGGAAGCCACAATGGAGGATTTGGCAATACACATACGACTTATGTGCTACCACCAAATTATCATACGTATCCCCAGTATGTGTATGTAAGTGAGTATCGAAATTCAGGAAGTCGGTATGGAGACATTTTGACGGGACTCGCTTTGTACAACTTGGGTCGATCTCACAGCCACCACTACCACGATCATTATTACTACGATGATTACTATGAAACAAGACGTCACTCACCGAGTTACACAGGCAACAGCTATGTTAACAATCAAATACCTAAACAAAAAGCGAGATGCACCTTAAGAGTTACGGAAAATGGAAGACTAGAAGTGTTGAAAATACCGTGTGAAATTGTTACTACATTCGTTGAAGATGGTAAGCGTTCTAATTACACACAGACACAAACAAATAGTACAGTTTGTTTTACTAACACCACTACTGTAACTGTAAATACTACAACGGCAACAGTGATCCCAACAAATACCACACCAGCTGTTTCAAACAATTCGCTTACTGTCACCACACCATTGCCTGCTTTATTACAAAATACAACAGAACAGACTAGAGCAACATTAAATTTAACCGATTCAAATATTCAGAACATAACATTTAGCACACCTGTTTCAAATATCACAGCACTGGAAACTCAAAATGTTACAGTATCAGAGGCTTCCGAATCACAAAACATCTCAGTCAAACGACTAAATCCGCAGAACGCTACATTAGATATTACTCGGCTAAAAAATGACACCGTACAACATTCTACAAATAATACTACAACTGTAAGAACTGACCCGGCAACATTAGTGACAGACGTCAGTAATATTACAACTGTAAGAATTGACCCGGCAACAGTAGTGACAGACATCAATAAGTCTAATCAAGATAAAGTGCCAAACACTAGCAATAACACTATGGTACCTTTGACTGTAACTACGGTTAACTACACAACATGCACTTCAGTCACAAACACGACCGACCCCCTTCAGGTAAAGGGCCCCCCAGTAAACGCAAATAACATGAAATGTGCGGTAGAAATTGTTACAAGCGAACATCTCATAAGAAACGAAGTTGACTGCAGTGTTCTAATGAAATATTCGAAGATGCCGGAGAAAGAAAAACCAAAAGAAAATAGAAGCAGTTTTTTGCCACCAAAGAGTACAATAAAATCTTGGCTTAAAAATCCTCCATGGTGGTTGTCTATATTTATTGCAGTATGAGAGAAAATGTGCAAATTTATGGATGTGTTTTAAACAGTGATTAATGAACTTATGTTAAAAATGTTCCTATTATAGACTGTTAGTACTTATATATGAAGTAGAGTTCTGTGAATGTACCGTTATATGAAGTAATATTCTACAAATTGTAATATATTAAGTGAAACTATGGTATGAAATAAGGTTCCAAGTAAAAATAAATATACATGATGATAAATGATCCTTTTTTTATTTTTCGCAACATTTATTTAGTGAAATTGATGATTAAAATTTAATTAAAAACTTAATAATTTGTACTTTAACTATTGCCTTTGAGTGCAGTCAAGAAAACAGTAAATATCTTAAACAAATTTTCAAATGTAAAATAGTAAAAGTAAAGATGAGTATTCAGTTTGTTGCTTATCCTATTTTTGTTCCTGTTTTCTAAAGATACTCGATTAAATCTTAAACATTCACTTGTACTAAACAACCGTAACCGAGAGTTAAAATAATAAAAGTCCTCTTCAATAGTATTTATTATTATGGAATAAGGTTTTAACAAAATTTGCTTTGGCCGAGTCTCTCCTAGCATTACAGGACTAGATTGGAATAATACCTAATAAATCAAATTACAAAATTATAGGCTACAATTGATTTTGATGTCCTAAAAAAACAATTCATATTTAATTAGAAACAGATATGCATCAATATTAAAAATTTTAGGTGCTTTGGAATTTATTTATCAACTAGCTGTCCCTGCTACTTTGTCCCAATGAAATTCGATCTTGTCATTTTAGTTTACTTATTTTACTAACAGTTATAGTACATAACAACAAAACATTTAAACAAAAAACATTCACATAAAACTCACATATTTTAATACTAACTTTCATCCCCTATTCCCAATTGTTATTTTGCACCCTTGAGTGTAACATTTTTACAAACATTGAATGGCATATTTATTTATATTAAATTAACAGCCTAAAAAAATAAGTTTCAAGCTTTTATTTGTAAAAATTACAATTCTTCCATACAAATTTCCAAACCTCTTTTTAACCCCTTACAAACTTTTTTCGCATTAAAAAGTCTATGTTCTTTCCCAGGCTCTAGACTATCTTTATATCTAATTTCATTAAAATCGGTTCAGTAGATTTTGCATGAAAGGACAAACTGACAGACAGACAGAGTTACTTTTGCATGTACAATATTAGTAAGGATTTCTACAAAAATTGTATTTGTTCAATTGAAAGCATGTAAATGTTAAATTCCCGGAATATCTTCTAAGGGCTGTCACTTCCTTTGTTGGTCCAGTCACCTGAAACATGAAAAAAAAAATGTTTACTTCACATACATTTTAACAAGTTTGTTGTTCTTAATATTAATTGAAAAGATTTTTTGATATTATGTATTGGTGTTAACACAAACATGATTCATATAATTTATTTATAGTTTTCATGTTTATAGATGTTCTTAGTAGATTTTGCAAAAAATGTTACATAAACCACTTTAGTTCCAGGTTAGTCATATGTACTTCTAAATACATAATAGTGAAGCAGTGCTAGACTGGCCAACTGTGAATTGAGGAAAATGTATACATAGATAATAATCAAATCTTACCATGAACAATGAAACCATAGTTTGTTTCATTTCTTTTCGTTAATTTTGTGTTGAAACATGCCAAAAATCTTT